TTCGTGGTGGTAGTGGTGGTGGTTAGGTGCCACTGGGTCCCTTCTGGCTTGTGACACCCCATGGACATCAGCCCTGTGTCAGCGCAGTCGTCAGTGTGTCTGAGCCCATCATTGCAGCCACTGCCCCTGTCCACCTCGTGGGGGTCTTCCTTTGCTTTGTTGACCCTCCACCAAGCATGATGTCCTTCCCCAGGGTAACGTGTTCAAAGCGCGTGAGACAAAGTCACACTATCCTTGCTTCTGAGGAGAATTCCGACTGTACTTCTTCTCAGACAGGTTTGTTCAGTCGTCAGTAGGGAAGTGCAGATAAAAATGTCAGTGAGCTACCATGTCCCACCCATGGCTATTGGAGTCGCTGGTGCACAAACTGCTCGCTCAACTGGTAGCCGAAGGACTATACCCAAGGAACTCAGAGGTGACACAGACAGACAGACGTACACCGATGTTCATTGCAGCATTATTCACAGTAACCCCAAGAGTAGAGACGACCTCAGTGCCCATGAGTGGGTGGCGGAATGACCAAAGTGTAGCGCACCGGCACAGCAGAGTCCTCAGCCAGTGGGAGAAGTGAAGCCAGATGCACGCTGTGTACGGTGGGGCTCCAAGCCACGAAGCTGAGGGAAGTCAGTCAGTCACACGAGGACAAGGAGTGCGTGACCTCACTTACATGAAGAGGAGCTCGGGTGGTGTAGCGCGTCCGGCATGTGACTGCTAACCAGAGCATTGGCAGCTCCGGGGAAGGAAGACTGGGCAGTCTACTTCTGTAAAGACTTACAGCCTCAGAAACCCAGCAGGGGTCCCTATGAATCAGAATCGACTCGATGACTGCGAGTTTGAGTTTGGTTTGAACATGAATCCAGTTCCTGAAGATTTACCGCCTTGAGATCGGGACTCTCGTACGCTGCTGGTAGGACTGTCAAGCGATACAACCACTGTGGAAATCAGTATGGCAGTTCCTTAAAAAGTTGGAAATAGAAAATACCATTGGATCCAGCAGTCTCATTACTAGGTACATATCCTAAAGAAGTGAGAGCCAGGACAAGAACAGATACATGCACAGCCATGTTCATCACAGCACTATTTACAGTAGCAAAGAGATAGAAACAACCTAAGTGTCCATCAACAGGAATTGATAACTAAACTGTGGTACATACACACAATGGAATACTATGCAACCCTAAAGAATAATGTAGAATCTGCAAAACACTGCATAACACGGGCGAACTTGGAGGACATGATGCTGAGTGAAATAAGTCAATCACATAAGGACAAATATTGTATTAGTCCACTATTGTAAAAAGTCAAGGAAAGGTTTATACATAAAAGGAAACGTTCTTTGTTGGTTACCTGAGATAGGAGGGGAGGGAAAATTTTTAGATTGATTAGAAAAAAAGGAAAAAAGATAAATAAACCAAAGTTTATTAGTGGTTACCAGGAGTAGGAGGGAGGGGGAAAGGGGAAGCCTATGTTTATGGGATGTTGAGTTTATGATAATGGTGGTGGGATATTTTGGAAAAGGATAGCAGTGTGGTAGCACAACATGAAAAATGTCATCATGTCCCTGAGCTGTGAATGTGAAAGTATTATGTTGGCGAGTTCTTATTGTGTATGTTTTCACCACAATAAACGTGAGAGGAAAAAAAACCAGTTTATCACCTTGGAAACCTAATGGGGGTTGCTGTGAGTCGGAATTGACTCAGCGGCAGTGGGATTTGTGTGTGGTTTTTGTTTTGTTTTGTTTTCACTTATATAAGAAAATGGGGGCTCTGGTAGTGTAGTACCTAAGGCATTTGAGTACTAACCAGAAGTTTCAAACCCACCAGCCACTCCTCAGAGGGAAGATTAAGCAGTCTACTTCCATAGAGATACTGCCTTGGAAACCCAAGGAGGGGTCGCTGTAACTTGAACCGACTCGATGGCAGTGAGTTTGGTTTTCTATAAGAAAACAGATGTATAGAAAAATCAATTTATTAGTAGGTCCCAGGGACGGGTGGGAAGGGAAAATGGAGATTTGTTGCCTGTGCGACATTGACTTTTGTGAAAGCTGATGGGGACTTTTGGAAACCGCTAGTGGGGACGGCTGTACAACACGGCGAACATAATGTTGGTCGCTGAATCGTCCTTGTATGAATGGTTGAAGTGGGAGATGTTTCATTACATATATGTTCTCCTAAGACTGAAAGGAAAAAAAAAAGAATGTGATCGTGTGTCTGGAAGAACTGGCAGACAGAAGCCTCTGTGACGATGGGAGCCGTCATCAGCCGGTCCCTGACATGAATGCCTGTTCATCCGGAACCTGTGACCACGTGGCACACTCAGCCTTCCCCCTGCCCTTAGCGCAGCGAACCTTTCCTAGTGATAGGCTCTCATCTCAGGACTTGGTTGGTGGTGGCACACTGTCAGGGTGTCTTCCTGGTGGCATATGTAGAGGGACTTGGAATCAGCAATGTGTTTCCAGACCTGCTGTACAGGGCATCATTTCCAGGTGCTTTCTTGAGAATGCCCAATCTTACGTTAAGTGTCTGGAGTCTGGGTCCTTATTCCCGAGGTCTCCCCTCACCTTAGACCTAGCCTTTTGCATAAAAACCGGTATCACTGGACTTGGGTATTTCCACTTGAGCTTTGAGCATCCTTATTGATAACTCAGTTAAATCTGTTTCACAGATTACCTCCCACTCTACATCTACCTCAGGGGTACCTCCTTTTCTTCTTTTCTCCTACGTGGTGACCGCTTAAACAAAAAAAAAACAAACTAACCCACTGCCATCCAGTCGACCCTAATGGTGACCCCCCCATTGGGTTTCCAAGGCAGTAAATCTTTACAGAAGTAGATTGCCCCCTCTTCCTTCCTGAGAGTGGCTGGGTGGGTTTATTGAACTGCCAGCCTTCTGGTTAGCAGTCAGATAAATGCCTTAGGTACTGTGCCACCAGAGCTCCTTTGTGGTGACCACTCAGTGACCAGGAAGGTCAGGATAGGTCTCCAAGGAGGACTGTGAGCGCCTAGAAGCCGTGGCAGTGGGAGTCCAGAGCCACACACACGGACTTAAAATCCGTCCTGGCTGCTCTTGGACTCTGGGTCACTCTCTGCAAACAGCCAACTTGGTAGATCAGTAGCTTTAGCAAAAGACCTGTTTTTCCGAGTGAAACAGTGCATGAGACCCCAGTATATAACAGAGAAGAACTTTTAATATAAGTTGAGATTTCTAAGAATTACTTGATGAGGCAACTGGGGCAAGCAGATAGCTGTCGTAATGGGCAGAGGAAATTGGAAATAATGTTGTGAACAGCTGACGCGCCTGAGGTCCGCCCCCGCACCTGGCTTACTCCTGTGTTGGTTTTTATCAGCCACTCAGCGGAAGGAAGACCAGGCAGTCTACTTCTGTAAAGGTTTACCGCCTCGGAAACCCAGTCCGGGTTGCTGTGAGTTGGCATCAACTTGATGGCAGTGGGTTTGGTATTTTGGGTTTGGTTCTGTTTTGCCGTTTTGGGGGTAGCCTTCAATCAAACACATGCCAGACACAGCCACGTTCCTAGGATGGGCTGCGTAAAAGCGGCACAGTGGGGCAGCACCTGCTAACGAGTCAGTGCGGTCGTGTTGGAACAAGTTTTTCATTATAATCTGTACAATAGAGTTTAAAACTTGGAGCCCCAGTCTGACGTTTGTTAGACCCCTAACACATCCCTTAGAGCTCTGTGGGTGTCCGGAGTGAACGCCTGCCTAGACATATCTTCCTTCAGTTGGCAGAGTGCGTGGGGGGGTGCCCGTCTCTGGCGGTGGACAGAAGGTTTCCCACACTGCACGTGCAGGTCAACACTAAAAGACACTTCAAGCCTGCATCCCTCTCCCAGGGACTGTCCGCAGCAGGGAGAGCCGGCATCAAGAGACTGCCTGCTCCGTGGGGGACATGGCATGAGGACGGAGGCTTCCAGGACGGCAGATGCAACCCGTGTGGATTTGGGTGGAGACTTTTTTTTCCTCGGTATACCTTTTTGTGTGACTTTAACCGTTCACAGGAAGTCAGGTGTCCATTTCTGTCCTGTCGAGGTTAGCAGCTACTCCAAGAAAAGCACACAGGTCACTGTCTGCTCAGAGGTGCTTCTTGCACAGACCCCGGGCAGAGGCAAAGCATGCTGGGCCGACGAGCAGTGCCTGTGCCTTTTTGGCTTTAAGTCTGAGCTCTGACCAAAGACCAGTGGGTCCTAAAGGCAACTCCAGATGGCGATTCCTTAAAAAGCCGAAATTAGAAATACCGACCGATGCAGCAATTCCACTACCAGGTGCATATCCTAAAGAAGTGAGAGTCAGGATAAGAACAGATACATGCACACCCATGTTCATCGCACTACTATTTACAATAGCCAAAAGATGGAAACAACCTAGGTGCCCATCAACAGAAGAATGGATAACCAAACTCTGCTACATGCACACAATGGAATACTATGTAACCCTAAAGAATAACGTAGAATCTGCAGAACACCACATAATGTGGATGAATTTGGAGGACATTATGCTCAGTGCAATAAGTCAATCACAGAAGGACAAATACTGTATTGGTCCGTTATTGTAAAAAGTCAAGAAGGGAACTTACTTTCTCAGTTGTTAGGGATGGGGAGGGAACTGGGGGGGGATTCCTATATAGCCTGGGGGGGCATTGTGTGTACGTGTGTGTGTGTATGTACCAAAGATTATTAGTATACGTCACCAGGGGTAGGAGGGAGGGGGAAAAGGGAAACTTTGTTCATGGGGCATTGAGTTTCTGCTAGTGGTGGTGGGCTGTTCCGGGAAAGGGCAGCAGTAATGGTGGCACAGCACGGACAGTGTCCCCAGTGTCCCTGAGCGGTGAGTGGGGGTGTTGTTAGGTTGGGGGTTGTCGTGTGTGTGTTTTCACCACAAGACTCTCCAAGTTGCTCTGGGAGGACAGTGCTGTGATGTGACGTCAGCCTTCTCTTCCCTCAGTTTGCAAAGAAAATGCTAACTATCCCTTTTCCCACCCTTGCAGGTTGGTGACATCGTGAAAGTCACAAGGATGAATATAAATGGCCAGTGGGAAGGCGAGGTGAATGGGCGCAAGGGGCTGTTCCCCTTCACGCATGTCAAAATCTTTGACCCTCAGAACCCGGATGAAAATGAGTGACAGCTGCCGCCCGCACCTGCTGCTTCGTGTCCTGCCTGTCCTCGTCGCCTTTGAAGCGGGAATGCATTCTCTCTCATGGACAAGTGCCACCGCCTTCCAGCGCCCGCTCTCTGCGGACGGGCACCTCTCACCTCCGGAACGTACACAGCAGGCTGCCTGCCGGCGTTTGTACCATAGTCGTGTTGTCACCAAGTAGCCGATTGTAGAGTTCTTTGGGATCATAAACTGGAAATCCTGGTGGAAGCACACGAGTGGAGAGACGTTGACAAGGATCGAAGGGCTCTTCCATCTCATCCCTTCCCCATGTGTCATGTTCACCAGGAGACGCTTGAGGCTGCTCCCCTAAGCAGGAGCTGGCTGCCGTCGTCTTCCTTTGGGGAGCAGAGGCAGGGAGCCTTGGAGAAGAGAGAATTGTGTCCTATACTCCCCAAGTCTGGCTTTCCTTTTGGTTTGGTTTGGTTTGGTTTGGTTTTGGAAGACTAATGAACTAGACGTGTGTGTTCTGAACAGGTTTGTAAGTAGCAGGTTGGATTTGTGTCACATCGGAAGAAGTGACACGTGCCCCTGGGCTGCCACGTGAAGCTGCTTGACTAAGGGACGGGGAAGAGAAAAGCCCTGCGGCGGGACCTTGGCTGTCGTGGTGTCACCAGTAAAACACAGCTAACAACACAGACACACACAAAAATCTGTGGTATCAGAGTGCCAGTGGGTGTGCACAGCCTCTGGGGTTACAGAGTCCGCAAAGTGTCAAGTGGTGCGTGGCTGGGACGTTTTCTGTCACGGAAAGCTGGCTTTCTGCCCAGCTTTCCAATGAATGTGTCCTTTTAAGGGGTGGGACTTAACAGTTTCTTTAAAAGGTGAGGTTATTTGCAGAATCGTTACCTGGCCCTTGGCCTCCTGAGATGTGGCCCTTCTTGCTGGTCCAGTCTTGTCTGGCTGCCCATGAGCATTCTGCTGCTGACCCTGGTCCGTGGTCTGTGTCCACGGTGCCTCCTAGGTGAGGAGAAGCAGGCTCTGCGAGTGGGCCCTGCATCAGCCGTGGAGTGTTTTGATGACCAGAGAGAACCATTAACCAGTTGCCCATTCACCAGTGTGGGGTGAAGCACCGTCACGTTAGCTCGAGGCCTGCTCTTACCGGCCACCATGTCCAGATGTGGGGCCACACCCTTGTCTGCCGCACAGAGTGGATTGAGCTCAAACTCCACAGGCCAGCCTGTCTGTCTTCTGGACGCTGTGAGAGACCGAGAAATGTCACAGTGACCTATGGAGAAACTTGGTACCACTTCTGAGCACGTGCTGTGGCCACACCCTCTCTGTGCAGGTTCGGAGCACGCTGCTGGCACAGCCATTTTTCGGTTTCTCTGTAAATCAGCATCTGTTGGGCCATGTCAATGGAAGCACTCCCCCAGATGACGAAATGAATGGCTGGTTGAAAAAAATCACTTTAGCTGCAGGTTTCTGGAAGACACTCAGCCATGAGCCCTTGCTCCTCAAGTTACAGCCGTTCTGATGGTGCCTGTCAACACTTCTCCTGGGAGCTCAGCCCGGTCCGGCCCGAGTCCCGGCTCAGAAACTGGGCTTGTCCGTTGACATGGAATGGCTCAGCCTGCCCTTATCCACATCAGTTCAGTCGGAGGTAAAATGTGTTGCCTTGTTGAAAGAGGGCACGAACCCTCAGCCCTCTTGAAGCCACGTTGAGCTGAGCACCTCGGCACGTTCTGACACGGATGCTGCGACTGGCTCGGCGCACGAGCAGTGCCTGGCCACTTTGGAAAGCAGGGTTTCCTTTCAGCCCTGTGTACAGGCCCTGTATCAAGCGGACCCTTCAGAGCCAACCCCTGGAAACCTAAGGTTGGTCCCACAGCAAGTCAGCTCCTGGCTCCAGCCCGTGAGGACGTCTGCAGGACTGCCCAGGACACTTGGCCCGGGATCTCAGTTCTGAGCTCTTGAGATAGGTTTCCGCAGTCGTCACTGCAGACCTGGGGCCAGGAGATCACTGCGCTCACTGGAGGCAGGAGCAGCAGCCCCGCCACCTCGGCGTTGCTTGCAGGTCAGCCCCACCCGTGTGAGCCCCGAAGCGCTCACACAGCGAAGAGACCGGCCCCAGGAGCTGCTGCACCCGGGGGTTTCCTTCTCAACTGTCCCCAAGGCTGCTGGCTCTGCCCCACTGTGTGTCGTTTAAGAAAATGTTTGCTGTCAAATTAACTGTCTCTGAGTTTTGACTTGGAACAGAAAGAAACTGTGTACTAAAGGGTGTTGACAGTTTGAATCAAAACACAATGACCCTGGGAAGGCCCTCACCCAAGAGCCTTGGTCCCTCAGAGCTGTGTGGCAGCCTTCAATGGCACCAGAACCAAGCAGAGGCCCCGCTGACTGCTGCCGCATGGCGCCTTGGGTCTCCGCCAGCAGTCATCTTCTGCGCTCACAGCTGGAAAGCTGACCAAGGGGAGGACAGCGGCAGCCCCCGGAGCCCAAGCACCTGGCAGCATGCTGCACCCTCTGCACAGCTGTTTACAGACAAGGCGGCCCCCGAGGCCAGCCCCCTGCCCCGTCAACGTTTGCTCACAGGGATGTGAACATCTGTTTTTGCAAAGGGAGGATGCTGTTTTTTGTGTGCGTGTGTGCCAGGTGTTTCTAATTTAATCCTTTAATATTATGCTCATTAACCTCTTAAAATGAGTGAGTGCCCGATTGTTTTAACCCCAGACCCTAAGACTAATGCTTTCTGTGGCCTCCACCGAGCACTGCCTGGATGTCCACCCTCTGGGACCGGAGAAGCGCGTCCCCGGTAAGTGCTGTCAGTGTGGACGGCACATGCTGGCAGAGTGGGGGGCAGTTCTCCAGGACACCCCGCTGTCTCAGCAGGAGGAGCAGTGGCCTTGCTTCTTAGACGGTCTTCACTGTGTCTTCTCAAACAACACCATCACCCCCAAACTTCTCTGACCTGTAACTTAAAGACCATAAACTTCAGGCAATAATATTTTCTGTGTTGAGCTGTTAAAATTATTTTTGGGGATCATAGCTTGTTTTATTTTGTGCTATAAAATTAACAGTATTAAATGACTTATATTCTTAGACTCCATCATGTGTCTTTCTTAACAGATCAGTGCCTTTTGATTCTTGTACTGCATTCTGCGCGACTGGTCCTCTCGGCATCTAAACACTGTTCCCCGCGGCCTCTTTGTACATTGTCTCAATAAAACTTGCATCAGCCGGTGGTGGCGGCAGCGGCGGCTTTGGTGTGTGCATGTCTCCTCCATGCTGTATGGAGGCACTCGGCCTCAGTAGCCTCCAGACTCTCCCCAGGGAGCATTAGGCAGGCCTCGGACAGGGGTTCTAAGGCCCAACCTTGCCACTGTTGGTGACCCTTTCCCCACTTGGGCACCCCAAGGACCACGCTCAGCCGCCCAGTGTAGCCAGCGCCTGAGCTCTGTGGTGCCATGGGGGCGCCTGGTGCTCAGCCCGGCCTCCCGGGGCCCCAGGATGATACAGTTGTTCCCACACTTTGTGCCACCAAGGAGAACTTGGGGTTTTTTCCTCCTGCTAGACTTCCATATGTTCAGGCTTCCGTTAAGTATTTGTTCAGTAGAAGCTAAAAAGCAAAAGTCAAGGACAGGAGCAGCCACGCCTCGTCCCAGGTTAGGGCGGCATGCCTGTCCAGCTGGCTTTGTCTTTCTATACATGGCCCTCCCATTGAACTCTCTTGACTTATGAGTGGAGTGGGCCGGAGACAGCACTGGGTGGCCTCATCCCCAGCCTGGGCCCCCACTGTCCCCCACTCAGCATGTTTCATCTCTGACATAACCAGAGCCCTCGGCCCACCTGTGCATGTTGCTCCTACACATTTTCTGGTGGTAACCTCAGATGTGCTGTCAGGCTTCCCTTGAATTTGAGCAAAAACACTTGTCTTAGAATGATGAAAAATGGTTTATCAGCTCATTCAGGGGAAAATAATACCCTCGGAGATGCCTGTGGAGGCTGTCTATTTCAGAAGGTATGTTTGTGTCTTCTGTGCTGGGCAGAGTCTGGAAGTCTGGAAACATACCCTGCCAGGTCACCTGGAGTGCTGGCGCTAGAGGCCCAGGCCAAGGACGACCCTAGCCAGCAATAGACCCTGTGACACGACTGGTCCTTCCCCAGAGCCCCTTCCACACTGTCCTGTCCAAGTCAGTGACGCCCCCCCCCCCCGGGTCCCAGGCCCCTCTGAAGACCCCATGCTCACACTAGGACCAGCTGGTGCCTTAGAGGGTGGCTGGGGTGCGGTGACCTGACTGACTGGCAGCCCTAGCACTGCGTCTTCAGCCGCTAGCTTGTGTCTCTGCATGTCTTCCAGCTTCTGACAAGTCACCCTTCACCCGTGACCCTGGTGAGTGGCTGGGGTGGCCCTCAGTCAGCAGTGTGGGAGCAAAGCCAACCCCTCTGGGACCCACCTTGTTGGCTTGCCTGTCTCAGGCCCCAGAGAGCCTTCCCTGGCTCCTGGAATAGGGGTCCTGGGGGTGGAACACCCCCACAGCACATCCCCACTCTGCAGTCCCCAAAACCACAGCCCCCACCTGCCCGCCAGGGCCCCAAGAAGCCAGGGCAGTGGGAAGTAGTGCCAGGCAGCCAGGTCTGAGAAGGTGGGGTGGGTGGGTCCAGTGGGTGCTGCTTCGGGGACAGCTAAGGGGATGAGGGGCCTTGGCAGGGGAACGCAAGGGCCAGCCTTCTACAAATGTCAGTCTGCAGCCACCACACATGCCTGCGTCTTTAGAAGCAGCGTTCAGACTGGCCGGCACGTGAAGGGTCTCCTGCCCCAGCACCCCACGGTTGCCCTGTTTCCCATTTGGTACATGTCTTTCCAGAGTCGTTCTCTTAAAGCAAATAGCATGTAACTACTAACTAAAGTTTCCCTTTACACAAGCGCACGGACCACTCACAGTTCTGCACCTTAGTCTGTTGGAGGTTGTATGTTGTCATTCTTTTTCATCTTACCACACGCAAGGATGGACGGCCACTCGTTC